CCAAAAAGATGGTTGTGAAACTCAATTTCTCATCAGCATGGATTCTGTGTGTTTTCAGTGACTAGGGTAAAACTTCTAGAGTTCAGCTCATGGCACCCTGGGGAATCATAACCGATGTCAGTGGTTGGCATTCCTATTGTCACCAAAGTTTCCCTACACCTCTCCAGGCTGTGGGTACATGGGAACAGAAATTGCTCAGTGGTATTGGCTTGTCCTCACTAGCATATTGCAAGATCAGGTGTTTTGGGGGTTCTCTGAGGGATGCCCCCAATCTGCTCATGAGCAAGGCTGAAGGCCCTGCCAGGACGATCTTGGTTGCTGCCCAGGTGGGCGACTCCCCTTGAGGCTGCCATGGCTTGATGGCATTTGCTTCCAGAGATCTTTGTTGACTGATCAGGACTAGAACTTTCCAGGATGAAAACTGGATTTTCCATTTCAGGAGAATGCCCCCTTCTCTCAAGGTAGAAACAGGGATGTGGTATTCCAGGTCTTGTGTGTGGGTCACAGAACTGGAAATGTCCCCTGCAGTTTCCATGCTGCGGTTGTCCCCAAGTTCAATGAAGGTGTTTTTTTAAATAAATTACACTGCCACTTTGCCCTTTAGAAAATTGTCTGCTCATTTATTTTGCTTGGTGCATATCGCAGTCATTACCACAGTGGTTTGCAACCTTTTCGACTTTCCCTGATCCCTCTTTGGCTTTAAAATGCAGCACAAACCCTCCTATTGAGGTTGGAGAGAACTCCTTTCACCACAGTTCCAAGGAGGACTTGTAAAGTGTTAAGATAATTGAAAAAAATCAATACCATGATATCAGGATACAGCTTTACCGATGCCTTTGGGATGTCAGACCAACAACAATTACATTGATCTTGGGCCTTGTTTTGGCCTTTGAGAAGTTTCAATGGCTTCCAAGCTCTGTGGGTTTCTGTGCCCTGGCTGGTCATGTAAAGGCTCTTTGTGAGGAATCCAGATTCCATTTGCCATTAACCTGAATACACCCTGCTCACCTCAAGCAAGCACAAGGCTGGGGGAGTCTCAGAAAGGAGCTATTCAGCCGGGATTGTGTGTTTTAGCAGTCTCGGCTGCCAAGCCAACAACAGTATTTGCTTACTTGGGCAGCTCAGTGCCTACAGGCCCTGTTTGTGTAAGAGGGGTGGCAGCGAGAAAATTCAGCTCAATGTTTTTCAATTAAAAAGAATTTTTTTTTTTTTTTTGTTTAAAGAAGAAACCTACCTTGAAACTGAGGTCTTTTCAACCTTATTTGTTTTCTGTGTGGATGGTGATTTAAATAGACCATTTCTCCTCAGTTAAGCCTTCTGATGGATGTAGAAGTGGATCTCAGGAGCATCATGTCTGCATCCCTGGCCATGGGAACAGCTTTGCTGTAGTCAGTGGTGTGTAAAAAGCAACATCTTGCAAGGCCAAGAGAAGTGACAGGGCATCTTGGAGAGACAGTTCTTGGCTTTCGTACATAAAGCTTTCAAGCAAAACAGAGATTGACTACGGAGCGAGGAGGCCAACAAGCAGCCCACGTTGGTTTTCCAAACTTGGGCCCTGTGGACATGCATTCGTTAGGATTAAAGTTGACTTGATGCTTCAAGGAACTTCAAAAAAACGTATTAACTGTAGGTGCTCAGGTAGGAGATGTGGCTGCCCTATCAGCCACATCAACCTGGATTACCAGGTGGCCTTGATGATGGGGGCTGAGTTGTGGGGGTTGGTCCCTGAGCTGAGGGAAGTTTCCTTCTGTTTTATCTCCCAAACTGTTCACAAACTTCCAAATAAAGATCATTCTGCAGAAGGGTGCAATATAAGGGTGATCTGGTCTCCTTTCCTGCTCCTGTCCCTTATTCCTACTGTCTCCCTGGCCTGGAGTTCATGAGTTAATCCAGTTTCCTTCCAAAAATGCCCCCTCTGCTTGAGCTCCTATGAATTGAGTTCTGCTACTTGTCACCGAGAGAACCTGAAGTAACAGCCTTCCACGGCCTGGCCCCTGCCTGAGCCTCCAGCTTTGCTTCCTGGTGCCCTGGCCTTGGCTTTCATGCTGTCAGTCTTGCAAGGTGCCATGCTACTTCACGCCTCCTAGCCTTTGCTTCCACCACCCCTCTACTGAGACGCCTTTTCCATTTTTCCTCGCCTGAATGAACTGGGATCTTTCAAGAAAACTCAGCTCAGGAAGCCTTCGAAAGCTTGCCCGTCACCTGTCACGTTGATGAGCTGCTCTCCGCGTTCCCATCTCTCAAGCTAGTCTGTAAGCTCAGGCCGGGATCAGGCCTCATTCATCTTTGTATCGCAGTGCTTGGCACACAGTAGGCACTTACTAATTTTGGTTAAACAAAGCCCAGCAAAGGAACAGCCAACAAGGATTTCCATTTCTGCAGGAGAAATGAGAGCAGGAGAGAAACAGAGTGGAAAGAGGATTCTGACCTTAGAAAGACGGTGATGGTAACATACTCTACGAAACCTGAGGAGGACAGCGGAGGGAGTGCATTGTGAATGGGACCTAAGTTTCCTTCTCCTCCAGCCACCACATCCTGCTTCTCTCTTCTTATTTTATCTTTGCCTCTCATACTACCGTTGCCATTGCACTGGGGGTTGCCCACTATCAGGTGACCTAAATTCAAAGTTTCCATTGTCTGCATTCCAAGTCCTTGATAATGTGTGTGGCTTGTATCCTTTAGTGAGAAGGGACTAAAGAAGTCTCTGGAGAATAAATAGGTCAAAATCCTGTAGCCAGAGAGCTTAATCTGTCTGAGCAAGCCAGAGAAGGGTCCACAGAGGCTGTACCATTTGCACTGAGACTTGGAGAATGAGTAGGAGTGTATCAAGATGACAGGAGAGCCTGCTGTGTACCGGAAACTACAGGGACTGTGGACTAGAGATTGAAATCATCCTTAAGTGAGACATGGTGTCTGTGCAGGCAGTCAGGGCAAATCAGGGGGAGAGTGGAGTTTACCCTGGACCTTTCAAAGTCTCTGTTCACTTTGTACATTTAACGTACCCTCAGGATGTATATTTTAAGTTGTCAAACTTTCTAGAGAACTCCCTGGGCAGCCCCTTTGGTTATTTTCCGTGCCACCCCTTTAAGAAGCAAAGTGGGTGAGAGTACAGACCCTGGAGAGAGATTGCCTTCGTGAACTTTTCAGATCTTCCTTGTGCCAACTCTATGACCTCCAGCAAGTTCCTTGACCTCTCCAGGCCTCAGATGTATGATCTACAAGATGTAAATAAGAAGAGTTTCTCAGCAAATCATAGGGGTGAGTTAGCACGTGTGAAGCCTTAGAACAGTGCCCAACCTGTGGCAAACACTTACTTCATAACTACAATTTTATTTCTTATGAGGTCGTTTGCAGTTGCCCTTCATGCATTTGGTGTATAAGTCCATGACGATGATATGGCTTTAATTCTTCATTGTGGTTTCCTGCCGGGCTATGAATTCCTCAAAGGCATTGGTTGAATAAATACCTTTTTCCAAAGCAATTGATTTCGTGCTTTCAGTTTTTATATTTATCTACTGTAATCTAAGGGGAGCTCTTCTCTTAGTATTTTGACTAGAAAACAACATTGTTCTTTGGAAATTCTTCCTTGAGGCTGAAACATCCTTGGACACAGGAAGATTTCTGTAAACCCATGCAGGCCCCTGAGGCGGCTGCCAGGAAAGTTATCTTATGAAGGTGCTGTCCTGTTCAAAAGGATTAAAAAGCCCAAGAAAACAAGAAATATCTGGACCTTGTCATTTTGGCCAGAAATTTGTAGCAGAGCCTTATCCCAAAACTTTGAGACTTGCAGGCATGGTGGCACACACCTACCCGTGATCCCAGTGACTCGGGAGGTTGAGGCAGGAGGATCACCAAGTTCCAGGACAGCTTTGGCAACTAAGTGATTTAAACTAAGTGATTTAAACTTTGGAAACTAAGTGATTTAAAAATAAAAAGGGCAAGGGATGTGACTCAGTAGTAAAAGATCCCTGGGTTCAGTCTCCAATACCACAAGCAAACATTGAGCCTTAGTAAAAAACAAACAAACAACAAAAAAAGCTTTTTTTCCAAAGACCCTAATTCCTGAAAAAAAATCAAGTCTAGTGGAGTTTTAGACATCACATATACCCAGACACTGRGTGAGCCCTTTTTAGGATTCTTTTGAAAGTCTCCCCATTGTACATGTATCTCATATCTTGACAGGTATGTTCTTGGCAGAACATGGAAGTAAAAAGGAAAGTTGAACCAGATTTCTCCCAGCTTATTGTAGTGCAAAAACATCAATAATAACATCTAGCTCTCAGCCCTCTGCGGTGGCACATGCCTATAATACCAGCAGCTCCGGAGGCAGAGGCAGGAGGATCTTGAGTTCAAAGCCAGCCTCAGCAAAAGCGAGGCACTAAGCAACTCAGTGAGACCCTGTCTGTAAATAAAATACAAAATAGGACTGGGGATGTGGCTCAGTGGTTGAGTGCCCCTGGGTTTAATCTCTGGTACAAAAAAAAATTCAAAAATTTAGCTATCACTGAAAAATCCAGGACAACTGCTAAACTAGATGGATCCCTTAGGACAASAGGCATGGAAACTTGTAGGAAATGACTGTAACACTGATCCCTCAGAGGTAGTGCAGTGGTTCTCAACCCTAGCAACCTTTAAGAGTCACTGGGGAGCTCTTAAAATATGCCAATACTTGGATTCCAGTTCTTCCCAGAGACTCGGATTTCACTGGTATTAAGATGGAACCTGAGAATCGGGATTTGGGTAGCACCACTTTCAAGCAAGATCTACTTGTTCCTCAAGGGCCAGTGTTCCAAAAGCAGCGTGATACAGGCATTCAGTGATTCAGACAACAGGAACAGCAGGGTCCCTGCTACATTCTCCAGTGGGTATGTTGTTACTTTGGGCTGGAAGAGTGGAGGGTGGCCCCCACCACAGACCTCCCACCCCATGACACGTGACACAGTGAGAAAGAGCACATGTGATCCTTTTAAACATTTAATTAAGCAACTCCTACACCGTCATGACAAAATGAAACTTGTTGAGGGTTACAGAGTTTAATGAGAAATAAAAATAAAAAATTCTCACAAAAGCTCCATTTAAGCCTGTCAATAAGTGCTGCACTCTCTTCTGAACATGGATTTTGAAAACAACTGTCAAAATGTAAATCCTCAGCACCCTAAAAATGACGTATTATTTTGATTCAATCTGTAAGTCGATGATCATGTTTCCAGTGCCAAGTTTTGACATATGAGAACTGCAATGGCAAAGAACAGAAATGCATCTTGTTTGCCCAAGCCCTCCCCAAGACTCGCCCACCCTGTGGGTGCCCCAGAAAGCACTGTCCAAAGAGCCAGTCAGTAGGGCAGCATTTGCTATGCTTTGCTGCTCTGAATTCAGTTCCGCGGCTGTGCATTGAACTCTGTACAAATGTTCTGGATGATCCTGGGGTTGGATTTGTACAGGTTGTCAAACTCATCCACAAAGAAGGAGTGGTCTCTGGCAGGGTGAGTGGCAATGACTTCCAGCTCGTCCTGTGCAGCCCATGCAACCCCTATTGCATAGGTGATCACTCCTGTGGGGACAAAGATCAGGTGAAACAAATGCCCCTAAGAAAAAAGTGTTGCTAATGAATCTTTGCTTTGCTGCTGCCCTGTCAGCACAACCCAACCCCAAATCAGAAATGTGCCAAGCAAAAGAAAAAACTCCCGTGGAACTCTAGGTTCTAGAATTAAGCATAGGTATGGCCATTCATTCATTCATTCATTCATTCAAGAAAGACTTTTGAACATCCACTTCAGAGAGGAGGTAACAATCTTTAGTGGGGAAAGTGGGGAGACTGCCTGCTATGATAGTTCTTGATTTGGTTGGGGGCAGCTGGATATCAGGTACTTGACCTTACTCTACAAAATCTTATTCCTATACCACCTTCAGGTTAACCAGGGTGGATGCACAGGATKGCCAGGAAACAGAGGGCAGAACCTGAGGTGGTCTTCCTGCCCAGGCACCTRCCCTGCAGCCCCCTTTCTGCCAGTGGCCYGTCTCATCTTCTGGGTGTCCCGTCCTGCTTATTAGGAGCTATCAATACTTCACATAGCTCTGGTCTAATATGCTTTCAGTTGTCCATCATGCTGCATATAAGCTGCCAGTCCCTTTTCTCTCTCCTCTCCAGCTTCTCTTCTCTGAATATTATCTCGATTGGGGGAAGCCAGCCTTGGGTTTTAAAATGCTGGCCAAGTGGCCATGGGAACTGAGCTTAGACTGAGCAAGCCCCTGCTTCTGCTCAAAGAAAGAAAGAAAGAATATCCCCCGATAAAGACTACAGAGCAGTATGCAACTTTTCAGATCCTTGAGACCACCCTTGCACAGAACCTTCTACTGTCAATTCTGACAGATGGTCGTTAACTCTGGACTTGGATGATCCTAGGAACACAATGCTCATTGCATTTTTAGATGAATCAYAGTGTTTGGCTGAACAGGAACCCGCCTCCATGTAATTTGTATCTATTGRTCCCAGTTCTTTAAAGCTTCCCAGAATATGATCCCCTGAGAGCTCCCATTTCCAACAGTCTTCTCATTCCCTCACTTCCTGGGTGAGGCCCAAAGAAGGTACCTAGAGAAATAAGTGAGGGTGGGACTGAACGTGAGCTTGGACAGATGTGCTAGAAAAAGCCCTGRGCTGATGAGCCAAGAGAGCTGGCCCATCTGCCACTCACTCAGAGATTTGGAACAGGTAGCTTATGACCCTTGAACAACTCTGCTGACGTGAGACCAAGAGAATTTGTGACCACTGGCACAAAGAACATCACCATCTCACCATTGTGAAGGTGCCCCACAGACTCTGCAAAAGGCAAGTCCCTGAGAAGACTTTGCCTGAATGCATTGTCTAGATACTTTGGTTTCTGGAAGCCAGCACCACCCATTCATTAAGAATTGTCTTAGGAAGGATTTAAAGCAGCTCTCAAGAATACAAAAAATCCTGAAAAAATAACCCATAYTAAAAGTATGCACAGAAAAGGGAAAAATAATTGACCACTGCATTGAGTGAGTTTTGTACCCTAGCACTTAGAGGTCTCCAGTTCCACTGACTACTCGATTCAGTTTTATCATTATTATTGTTACTATTTTTCTTTTTTTTTTTTTAGTTGTAGATGGCTACAATACTTTATGTTTATTTATTTTTATGTGGTGCTAAGGATCAAACCCAATGCCTCACACTTGTTAGGCAAGCGCTCTACCACTGAGCTACAACCCCAGCCCATTTATTATTACTATTATTATTATCATTTTGGGTTTCTTCAGGCTGTTATATTTTCATGCTATTTTATGGCACTTTTTAGAACAGTTTTATATACATATTTAAAATTAATTCATAAATGTGACTTATTTTCTAAACACTAAAGTACTTTGTTCATTTTGTGTGTTTTTTAAAAATAATTATTTCTTAATTTTAGGTGGACACAATATCTTTACTTCATTTTTTTTTTATGTAGTGCTGAGGATCGAACCCAGTGCCTCACGCGAGCACACTACCACTTGAGCCACATCCCCAGCCCTTATTTTTTGTGTTTTGAGCCTTTTCTTGAAAAACTTAGAAATTTTTATATGGAAATATCWCTTTTAAATATTCTGAATCAAAATTTCTTTGGGTTTTCCCCCCCAAACCCTCAATATCTAATTTACAAACATAGTACAACTTCCTTAAAGAACACTATTAGGCTTTAAAAGGTACTAAAGACAAATTGGTGTCTTCAACACAGCTAGGGATTTGTTTTTCTTTCATAGAAAGTGAAAAATAGAATTCCCTTTTAGTGTCTCAAGCCCTGGAGGGAAAAGTCTCAGGATGTAGGAGGTCAAGGTAAGGGTCCCTGTTTTCAAAGACACTGGGGGAGCCTCTGGCTGCCCTTCCTCCTTCCCTCTTTGCTACTCGGACACCTGCAGTATTTGCTCCTCTAATGGCCTTGAACATTTTTGAGAGTCACAGACAAAACCAATGCACAGAAGAGCAGAGCCTTCCTTGCCCTCCAAGGTAGCCTCTCCCGGCCCTAAGAAGCCTCAGCAGTTGGCTGAACCAGGTTCCCCCTACCCTTCTGATGGGCGGCCATGGCTGGTATCCGCACGTCGTCGTAGGACCTGCCRTCGGTGATGAGGATCATCAGCTTCCTCTTGTTGGGCTTGGACTTCTTGAAGAGCTGCTCCAGGGCATAGTGGATGGCAGCGCCGGTGCTGGTGCCACCACTCCAGTACCCCACCCTCTTGATGGCGTTGAGGATGTCGGGCTTGGTGCTGTACTTGTCAAACCCAAACTCCAGCCGCTGCTCGTAGGTGTACTGCACGGCCCCGATGCGTGTGTCTGTGTCTGAAATCTCAAACTCCTTGCTGATGTTGGCCACAAACTGCAGGACCGTGCGGAAGTTGCCTGTCCCCACGCTGCTGGAGCCGTCAATGACAAAGCCGATGTCGGCTGAGTTTAAGCAGGTCTTGCTGCAGGCCAGGCGGTCGGTGTCACAGACCCGCTTCACCAGGGGCTGCATGGTCTTGGAGAGGCCCAACCAGCTCTGCACRTTGAACGAGTAGAAGCCATTGGTTCTGCACACAGCCTGGAGGACAGAGGGGAGGGACACTCACCAGGTCAGCAGTCAAGTCCCCCAACCTGGCACCCTTACCTTGGGCCTCCAGGTGGGTGAAGAAGCAAACAGACTCCTGTTTGCTGTGCTTGTCCTTGTTGATGGCTCTCTCCCTTTCTGTTCCCCTGTCTGGGCACTTGCTGAGGCAAAGACCGCTCCAGTAATCTCTGAACTCACTCCTGTCTCCGAGGCGGCCAGTGCCTCAGTGGGAAGCCCTTGTGCTAGGCGAATGCACAGGGCGATGGAAGTCACTGATTTCTGCTTCAGATTTCTGCCTCTTCAGCTCAATTCATTTGTACTGGCAGCCAGCCATGACTGGCATTGGTGGGCACCAACGCATGAGAGAATTAAAGACAGCTTTTGTTCTCCTGGGGAAAACAGAGCACACGTAAGAAGTGACTGAGGAATGTTTCCAGAGCAGCCTGCACCCACTGGGAAGGGGCCCCAGAGGTGCTGAGTAGCCACATGGGTCAGGGTGGCTCTAGGTGCTCTTGGAGAGATTCTCTCATTCAACCCTCACCTCACCCTACACGGGGGACGATGACCCCCCATTGTTAGAGAACAAACTGAGGTCCCAGTACAAGGGACATCCCTGAGTTCCCCAAACTAGATTGCCTAGCTGTCTGCCTTCAAAACCCAAGCTCTGCCCTCCAGACAACCTTGCCTCTAGGCAAACGAATATTTATTTACTTGTGCCCAAGCTTGTTCCAGAAAATATTCAAGTCAGCTACAAATAAACATTGAGCAAACTCGTTGGTGTGTTCCTGGAAGTGACTGGGCTAGTGTTCCTAAGGTGGGGCATTTCTTCCTGTCCCTTCCTTTGGGGGTCACAGAGCATGTCTGATTTCATGACTATGGATGAATCTGTACAATTAAAAAATTATTTTGAAACAAGTAATGACTTAATCCTTCCCAGGAAATACATCTTTTTCTTGATTTGTAAAATCCTAAAGCAGGTTGCAAAACTTTCCATGGACGAGGCGGCACAAGAGGCTGAGTGCTGGTAGGAAGCTGATCCTATGGAGGAAGAGGATCCCCATCAAACTGCCTGTGGGAGATTCCACCAGCAGAGAGTGGTGGTGCTGGCCAGGGACAGGTGGCCATTGGCTGGAGCACAGGGCCTGTGTGGTGTCACAGCAGCAGGGCCAGGAAGTGGGGTGGACCATGCTTTAGAAGGCTTCAAGAACAATGAGGGACAGTGAAGGATTTGGAGCAAAAGCCCCATAGTTAGAAGAACTCTTTATAAGCATGAGTTGGGCTTCACTGTGAAATCTCTACAAGGGAGACCCAGGAGAAAGACAGGCAAGATGTTAAATACTGACTTGAAGTGGGGAGATGTCACTGGGCAAGAGAAAGAACAGAGAGATGAGGGATGCAATTTGGGAGCTGATGAGGAATTTTGGGATGGATGGGGCTGTTCATGCAAAGTCCCGAGAAGGAGACACTTGGGTGGGAAAGATGATGATGAACTTGGCTTGCTGCATGTAGGACTTCAGGTTCTGACAGGGCTTCTGAAAAGAGAAAGGTCACCAGGTGTGATGGCATATGCCTATAATCACAATGACTTGGGAGGCTGAGGCAGGAGCAACAGCAAGAGACTGTCTAAAAATAAAAAGGGCTGGGATGTAGCTCAGTGGTAGAGCACCCCAGGGCTCAATCCWTAGTATGGGGGTGCCGGCAGAGTCTTTCATCTGGACAGAGAAGACTCAAGAGATGAGGACTGATGCTGTGGCCCTGGGGAGACTGGAGG